GTTTCTTGTGGACAGGTAAAGATGATAGGAAGGAGAAGCCCAGGATACGTGGCAAGGATACATCTAGGGGTTAGTAGCTGGGAGGTTAAGGGACAAGGTACTATACTAATAGTTGCCACATAACCTTCTCGAGAAGTATTTCCTAGGTCTGTGAAACCTTTGGAAGAACCTGCTTAGCATCCGTTCATGAAAGCACAGGGGAAAAGATAGAAAGTGCAGTGGAAAACCATCCTACTGGAAGACTGTATCTTACTCTGTGACATCTTCCAAGGCAGTTATTGGAGTTGGCCTGGAAGATCAGAGTTGATGTCTTATGGACCCAGACTATTGCATGTGAACAATGAAGTCCCAGTCCTGTCATGGGCAAGAGTAAGAAACAGCAGACAAGGGTAGCTTTGGGACAAAAGGCCATGTTTATCAACCTTGCCTCCCAGAACAAATCTCTAGTCCATTCTGGTTGGTAAATATTTGACCCAGTCATGCCCAGGGAGAGGTGAATGACTCTCCTTGTTTGTTCAAGCGCAGTGTCCTTGGTTTTCATGTCTCTGCCAAGATTGGGGATCCTTAGATCCAATCTCCCCACCCTCTTTATGAACATTATATAATCAGAACCAGGAAGGGCTTCCACACACAGCTGGACTCCGTCTCCAGGACTCCAGGAACAAACAGGTGGAACCTATCTCCGGTTGACTCCAGTTGACTCCAGATTCTTGTAAGATTCTTCCTTCTGGGTAATCTATTTTTCATTTGTTTATATATGCATATAATTTATAGCCATCCATCCATTTCAGTGAAGTCATTCTCCCCCCACCCCCACCTCCACCCCCTTAAATCCTCTTGGGCTCATGCTCATGCGTTAAATAGAAAATGTATCAGAAAGCTTACAATGAAAACAGGTTTCTTTTGAAAGCCTGTATGTGGATAAAGGGAAGATAGAGAGCCTGGGAATAAGTGGAGGTTTAGGAGGGATTTGTAAATTGTAAAAAAAAAAATCCCCAAAGTCTGGTGAAGCCCTTTGCTGAAGGGGATCTGGAGTCCTCACCTGCCCCCAACCCCTATTACAGACATTATATGTGGCTTAACAACGAAATAAACAGTAAGTATGTTTTTAGAATTCTTTCCTTCTAACCTTCCCTGGTAATTTCTTTCTTACAAGAGTTTTGGATGCTCTTTAAAAACAAGGTGGGCCAGGCATGTTGGGTCAAGCCTGTAATCCCAGTACTTTGGGAGGCCAAGGAGAGAGGATTGCCTAAGTTCAGGGGTTCGAGACCAGCCTGGGCAACTTGGTGAGACCTTGGCTCTACAATAAATCAAAAAATAAGCTGGGTGTGGTAGCACACCTGTAGTTCCAGCTACTTGGAAGACTGAGGCAGAAGGATCGCTGGAGCCCAGCAGGTCGAGGCTGCGGTGTCCTTAAGCATGTCATTGCACTCCAGCCTGGGCGACAGAGTGAGACTCTGACTCCAAAAAAAAAAAAAAAAAAAAAGGTGGAACACAACCTGAGATCAAAAGAAGACAGGTTGAAGGAAAGAAAGAAGATAAAGGGAGGAATATGCATTGGATGTTATGATTTTGCTTTAGGGGAATTTACCCTAGAGTATATAAAAGTGTAAACCCATATTTATGAAAATGATAACCATAACCATAGTTACTCATCATAAATTGGCAAGTTAACTTCCTGATGCATAAAATTTGATGAATCTCTTCAATACAGAACACGGCCTATGAAGAGAGGAAGAGAATATTGATTCTTATGAAGATTAGCAGATGTGTTTGAGACAAGATAAAGTTAGCCTAAAAAACAATTGGGACAAATTCCACTGACAGAAAGCTGACTGATAGTTATGTGTTTGGGTATAGGAGGATATGCATATGGGACTTTTGTTACCACATGTGAGGCTCTGCACCCTTGGCTTAGGCAGATTCACGTCTGTGCCACAAATAATCTGTCTCTTACTAGTTCTTTCCCCATTCCATTTGACCTTGTTTTTGGGAAATTTAGAAGTGATCATGTGAGGCAAAAAGTTTAGTTAGAGAGCAGATGTTAGATATTGGTGGTCATGGTGTGTGCTTATGGGATTGGGTTTCTGGATGTCTTAGCAAGCCTGAGAAAATCTTAGCTGAGTTGTTACAAAGTGAATGTGTAAATTCTGCAAATCACAAGCAAAGATATTCTTTTACATCTGCAGACCGGAGTGACTTACCTAGAGGTGATATGTGAGCTTAGCTTGCATATCGAGCCTTAAGGATGGTGCATCTCAGTGAGATTAGGCCACAGGTCACTCTGTCATCTATTTGTTCAAACTGGTGCCTTGTGCACCAACTAACTTATACAAAATTTGTCTCTGTAATTAAAGGATCGCTGTAAAATTAGCAAAATCTGTTATGCTTAATGAGAACTATAGAATTTCAAACTTCTAGGGCTAGCAACTTTCTCATTTTATAGATGAACAAACTTTGGCCATGAGCAGAAAATGAAGACAATCATAAAAAAAGAAAACTATTCAAAAGTACTAAAAGGCATCAAAATTGACAAGTTCAAAAACTGTTTTGAGCAGTGGAAAAAGTGTCTCAATAGGTGTATTGCATCAGAGTACTTTGAAAATGACTGAAGTTTAAACATGTAAGAATAAATACACAATTTTTTCTAAATAAACTCCGGTTCTTTGGGGTAAAAAAAATATTGAGGGTTTTATTATGAAGCAAGCACTGTGATTCAAGGTGAATCATATGGGCCCTGTAGATTATACATAAGGAAACACTGACAGGTAAATAGTCCATTGTTTGCCCAAGATCACATGAGTAATGGCACACTTGGAAATCACACCTAGGAAACCTGACAACAGGAAAATCTTTATTTTGTGATATTCTTATGGGCAGATCCTGAGCTTTGTGGCTTTTGCTGTGACACTTATATCTAACGAGGTGTGCTTGGTCTTAATATCTAAAGCATAGAGAGCTTGAATGAAAACTCTAAGCAGGCCCACCAGCTCCACCTTCCTTCTGTGAAAAACAATGTCCCTACAACCTGTACAGCACTGGCACCTCCTGCAAGGACCAACTGTCTCCCCTACAGTAGAAGATCTTGGTAAACATTCCTATCCACCACTGCCACCTAATGACTTTTTGGGGTATTAGCAGCTCAGGTTCTACTTAGGACTTTTTTACTTACACGAGAAGCACAAAATAAAAGTTAATAATTAGTTTAATGTCTTCGATATACGGATTCATATTATATTACATTTGAGAATAATTTTAAAGACAGAGTTTCCCACTGTAAGAATTTCTCAGTATGTGTAATGGCTACAAGGAAATCATAACCAATCATAAGTTAAATGAGCTATTCATAGACAAAAATTTAAAAATCAGAATTATTCAATCAATTAAGTTTTACAGTGAAAAGTCATTTATTGACAGATATAGAGGCATTCACATTTTATATAATTCACATTTATATTCACATTGGCTATATTGTAGGATAGATCTATGATGGTTTTTTAATGAACGGTCTTTAAATTTTTCCCCAAAGAACTAAAGATATAGTCAGAAACTACCTTCTGCAAGTGACAAATACGCTTAAATTCTCAAATCTTCAAATTTCATAAGACATTGAAAATTTAAAGTTCATAAGAAATTTGTCTTCTATTTTGTTATCTTTCATATTTGTTTAGTTCTATTTTCAATGATCTGTCATTGAGTTCAAGTAATGCTCCAGGAAGAAGCATTGTATTTACCTGAAGGTATGTTTGGGTCTGTATGACACACCAACCTAAGATGTGTGAGTTCAAAATTGAGACTGACAACTCTCGAGTGATGATGGCAGGAATCTTCTTCTCATATTTGTTTAGTTCTATTTTCAATGATCTATCATTGAGTTCAAGTGATGCTCCAGGAAGAAGCACTGTATTTACCTGAAAGTATGTTTGGGTCTCTATGACACACCAACCTAAGATGTATGAGTTCAAAATTGAGACTGACAACTCTTGAGTGATGGTGGCAGGAATCCTCTTCTTCTCTTTCTTCTTCTTCTTTTGAGAAAGATGCTAAGGAATTATTAGAATTATTACAGAAAATTGTAAGGACTTTGATTTGATGAAAAAGCCCAAGGAGATTTTGATCACATGGTTAATACCATAAACCATCTACAGTTTATGTACATATGCAGGAAAAGCTAGAAAATTGCTCCCAATGTGAGAAGCGTGAATTTCTCTTTCTCCTCTATAAGAGCTGACCTACCTCCAAGCATTACATGGCTTCTTCCACGCTCCCCCTCTTCTTTCTAAGCAGTACATAATAAGTTCACCTTTGGCCTTGAACCAGCTACTTCTTGGGGAGGTATGTCGGCCTTCATTCACCTCAGGAAGAAACTTCTCTTAACTGCTTTCCTCACAGCTGGCTAACTAACTTGTGTACCGAGAATGTGTCTTCCACAATCTTCTTCCCCAGGCTGAGGGCTCCCTAAAAGTCTGTCTTATTCCTATCTCATCTCAGCAAATTGGAGCTCCCATCCCTTCCCCATGGACGGCACATCTCCTTTTAGGATGGCATTTGGTGTATCTTAATGGTCTTTGTGTCCCAGCAGTCTCTGGTACTCAGTAGGAGCTAATTAATGTTTGTTATTAAATGAATTAATAAATGAATTAAAGAGTACAGATGACTTTGTAATGCTACAACTAATTTGTCACTTGCAGAAGGTAGTTTCTGACTATACCTTTAGTTCTTTGGGGAAGAATTCAGTTTCTGAACGAGAAATACTCAGGGAACCCAAGGGATAAGAAAGAATGGTTAGGGTTGGAAGTTGTGTTTGGAAAACTATTAAATAGACTTTCCAAAGGAATGGATTGACAAGAGATGTGAGGTTAACACAGAAGGGAAAAGAAACTATAAAATTTGGTGACTGAGGAGACCCAATTCATGATGTCCTGTCAGAGAGAAAAGTCCCTGTCCTTTTAGCCTAATTTGGCAATGCTTTTCTGTGCCCCTACCACAACTCCTTTTGCCTTTGGCAGGAGCCTGTGGCAGAAGAGATGTCGATGGACCTGGGCCCCTGGTTGTTGGTCTTCATGCTGGGTCTGAGTCTGACCCTACCCACCCTGGCTCAGGATAACGCCAGGTACGAAAAATTCCTGACTCAGCACTATGATGCCAAACCAGGGGGCCGAGATGACAAATACTGCGAAACCATGATGAAGAAACGAGGCCTGACCTCACCCTGCAAAGAAGTCAACACCTTTGTTCATGGCAAGAAGCGCAGCATCAGGGCCATCTGTGACGATAGCAATGGAAGCCCTTACAAAGAAAACCTAAGAATAAGCAAGTCTTCTTTCCAGATGACCACGTGCACCCATAAAGGAGGGTCCCCCCGCCCTCCATGCAAGTACCGAGCCACAGCAGGGTTCAGAACCATTGCTATTGCCTGTGAAAACGGCTTTCCTGTCCACTTGGACCAGTCCTTTATCCGTACAGGTTAAAGGACCAGTCCTTTAGCCAGCAGGCCAGTGGCCAAGAGCTGGCCTTGCCTTCCTTTCCTTGCCTTTCCCCTCTCTTCACCCCAGAACAGCAGTGGCAACATTTGTTGCCAGAGAACAAGCTGCCTGAATCTTTTGTTTTCTGTTTCACAATATGTCTAATAAATAAAATGTCTCTGAAATCAGTAAGAATCAGAGTTTTTTCACCACTTCCTGGTATATAGATCTTTCCCCATTTTCTCTATTTAGCTGCTCCCTGAGGCGATTGGATGGGATAGAAATGCCTGTTTCCTTATAAGTCAGTTTCCTATTAGTCCATGGGGAGGTAGATTTTATTTCTTTGTGAAGGAAAGGATGATAAGTTGATCCAGAGAGAAAGCTGGAAAAAAGTCCAGGACTTACAGCCACTAAGCAGAATTCTCAATAGAGGCAAATTGTTTTTTCTGTTAAGTAATACAAATATGATACCTTGGAGAGAAGATTTTAGAATCTAGTATCAACATATCAACAGATTAATTATCTAATTATCCTCTCCTCCCCCGCTCCTTCCCTCCCTCTCATAGTCACACCACACACACACGTAATTAAGCATGAATACAAAAATTCATTCAGGGTAGACCCCTTTTGTCTTAAGCAAGAGGCAATTTTGATGTTGGTTTTAATGGAGTGTTCTCAGGATATTCTCTTGTCAGGATTATCTCATATGAAATTCAAAAATTGATTATATAATTTTCTCTATTTTACTTTTTCAGCTAATATTTGGCAATTGTGATGTCTTAGGGAAACTAGAAAGATTTTTTTTCAAGATTTGTTTTCAAGTAAACATAACTTAGGTTAACAGTCACTCTCTTTGTAAAATGCACTAATCAATCTATAGGTTTGGTGGGTAGCTTCCTGTTATCAAATTACCATCAACAGGTGCCTGTATATTTTATTTAGAAAGTAGTTGTTAATAAATTGCAATTATAAATCACTGGTTTTCTGCCTTGTGATTCTCATGGTTGCAGAATTCCCTACTGTTGCCTCTCCTGCTGCCTGCATTGCCCTAAAATGGACCAAATGCCCTAGCTCCCCTATACCCAGGTTATAGACCAATTTCAAGGTACCACCTGGGCCCTTTCAGCTTTACTGAAAATATTCAAATTCAGGAAGGGGCTTAAGAAGTTGGCTGCTGATGTATGCTTAGCACAGGAACCTTTTCACCTTGAGTTAGTCTATTTCAAAATTTTAAACACTATCGTTTCCTAAGAAAATAGGAAAAAGAGTTTTCCAAACCTCTATTATTAGATAATCTGCCTTATTAGCCAGGTGCAGTGGCTCATACCTGTAATCTCAGCACTTTGAGAGGCAAAGGTGAGAGGATTGCTTTAGTACACAGGTTCGAGACCAGCCTGGGCAACACGGCAGAACCTCATCTCGCCAATAAATCAAAATATTAGCTGGGCATGGTGGCACATGCCTGTGGTTCCTGCTACTTGGAAGCCTGAGGTGGAAGGATCACCTCAGCCCAGCAGGTCAGAACTGTAATGGCCATGAGCATGCCACTGCACACCCGCCTGGGTGACAAAATGAGACTCCACCTCAAAAAAAAAAAAAAGGAAAAAAATCTGCCTCATTACAAAGTCTCAAAAACTCTTCAGAAAGTGAGAATGGGTTTTGGTAGACTATCTGGACACTTTTCTCAAGTTCTCCACTGGGTGCTGTCTCTCTGAGGTGAGGCAAAGTTACTCAAGACCATTGCCTCACTCAAAGCCTTGAAGTGAAAAGTCAAAGCCATGGACCATTGTTAGACTGATTACCATAGCTGTGAAAACTCACACCTTCTCCAAACATCTTGGAGCATTCTAGCCCTGGTGTTAGGAGCTGAAATCACATGGACAGTAAGATGGGGGTGCTTTCTGACCTGCCAAAGGTGATAGCAGCTGGTAGACAATCCTTTTTGCTTTCATCCTTTTCTATCACAGCCAAAACTGTTTAGAATAAAATATCAAGTCATTTTATCTTAAGTGAGTCATTTGAGGAATTGAAGTCCTGGTCAGCTATGACTGTTGGCTTTTCAAGGAGAAGAGGAAAAAAACCCAAAATGTTGAGTTTTGAAGAATGGTGACATGTAAGAAAAAGGAAATCCAAGCAATATGGAGAGGAAATAGTTCTCTAGGGATCCAGTAATTTAGATATTTTATCATTTAAAAACAGACTTCCAATGTCTTGGGAATACAGTTAACTCTGTGAAGTAAAGAGGGCTCAATAATATATGTAGTCAAGAATCTAGTATTGAGAATAACTCAATGTAGTCATTCATTATTTTCATTCAGATTGGAAAAAGCAGAAGAAACTAAGAAAAATACAAATGGTAAAAGTAATACAGTAATTGTCAACAGTTACTGAGCACATACCATGTAAGTGATAAGCACTTCACGTTGATTTTCTCATTTATTCTTCATAACATCCCTAAGTGGTTAGTATTATTATGTTCATTTTGCTTACGAAGAAATATGGTGAGAGAGGTTAAGTAATTTCCCAAATGTCACACCTAGGTCTCTGGGACCACAGTGTCAAAAAAAAGTTCTTATTAAGTGTCAGGGTGGTACAGTAGAAAAAAGAATTTGGGGCAAATCCTGACCAAACATATACATTGGGATAATTTGAAGAGAATTTCATCTTCTCTTATAGCTAGAGCCTTGAGATGCACCCATGGATATCTGCATTGGACTTCTGTCTTCAAATGTTTGTTCTTGTCTTATTGATGCAGTTGATTAGTGTAGCTAAGGTCCTGAGTTATTCTCTCATAAATACTTAGGTCTTTTCTGGAGCCAGTTATCTTGCTAAAACTTATTCTTGGTCAAAAAGAATCAGGATGAGAGAAAGATAAAGCCATGTAAGACTGGAAGTGTCACTGGCTAAACACCCCAAAATACATTGTTCTACTGGAGTTGTAACAGAAGTGCTAAGGGTACCTTCAGAAGTTGTATCCATCAATCTTAAGGCAGGAAATAATCAGGCATCATCTCTCCCTGCAACTCTTCCTCCTACAACCCCTTTATTCCCTCTCTTCCTAACACCGTATCTCGTATCTACAACTACAGCACAGGAATACAACATAGAGCTTTATATTTTTCTGTGCAAAGGCAAAAAGTGGCTGTAAATATAGGAGATAGCATTTAAGAGAACAATAGCTATGTTTGATACTGCTTTCATTATCACTAATCAAACGATAGACTTTAGGGAGTGATCCCATCTCTACCCTTGATTAAACTCTGTAGCTGGAGAGTAGGAATTCTGAGCATAAGTGCCCTTAATATCCTGAAATTTGGGTAGAGGAATGAGAGCAGTAGTAGAGGATGATAGAAAGAGCAGAGGGTTTAGAGTCAGATAGGCCTGGTTTCCTTTCTTTAATCATCAACAAAAGCAATGAATGTTCTGACACTACAAGGCAATGCTTTATTTGTTTTTATTCTGAATTTCTTTTATGCTATAAAATACATGTTTATTTTCCTCTGCTAAGTGGTGACAATACCATGATGCTGCAACTAGAGAAGGCAGACAACAATGAACAAATATTGACAAGATAGGAAGGCCACCAAGGACATGCAATGTATTGCCAGGGTCTAGATTTTTAGGCTATACATAGAAACAGCAAAGGAAAAAAAAAGACACAATTCAAATCTTCTTGAGGAGATTGTGCTGTTTAGATTTTTTTAAAATGTTTCTTAGCTTTTCTTTCTTTTTTTTTTTTCTTTTTTTAAAGTTTTTTTTTATTTTAAAGATGTAGGGGTACATCTTTAAAATTTTTTAAAAATTTTTTAAAAAAGAAATACACACTGATACATGTCAAAAGCCATGATCTATCTAATTTACCATCAAGTAGTTCGGAAAAAAATTTGATATAGTTAGATAACTAGATACATTAATAAATAGTACTAATGATAGAAAAAAGGGGGTAAAATGTTAAAAACAGGTGAATCTGAGTAAATGTGGTATTTTTGGGTATTGTCATATTATTTTTATTTTTATGATGTATCTGTATATTTGAAGCTATTGCAAATAAAAAGGTTAAAAATAAAAAAATGATGTGGGGTACAATTCAGGATTAGGTATACAAATGTTCATTATGCGGTAGCCTTGTTGATGAGGTGTGCCCCTCCCTCCCCTAGCAGTTTCCCTCAACTGCCATTCCCACCCTCCACCTCTGGCAGTTTTCCACTACTTCCAATCCTTTTCTTATAGTATTATGATAATTGTTCAAGGTCCACTTATGAGTGAGAACATATGGTATTCTGCTCTTTGTTTCTGCAACAGATCACTGAACATGATAGACTCTAAATCCATACAAGTTGCTACAAAGTCCATATGTTTGTCCTTCTTTACGGCTGCATAATATTCCACCGAGCTTCTCTTTTTTGTTTGTTTTTGTTTTCTGAGGTAGGGTCTTACTGTGTCGCCCAGGCTGGAGTGAAGTGGCACACTCACGACCACCCCATCATTGACCTGCTGGGCTCCAGTGATCCTCCCATCTCAGCCTTCCAAATAGCTGATGTGCACACTACCACGCCTGACTAATTTTTGATTTATTGTAGAGACAAGGTCTTGCCAAGTTGCCCAGGCTGGTCTCGAACCCATGGGCTCAGGCGATCCACTCGCTTCAGCCTCCCAAAGCGCTGGGATTACAGGCCGAGCCACTGAGCCTGGCTGATCTTTTCTTAGTAGTTAATTCTACAAGCCTGGGAAACACCTTCATTATCTATACCCATTTAATTTCATGTGTTCACTAGCTTACTCATTTCATTTATTAGTTAATTCAACCCATAGTTATTATCTACTATCTTCTAAGCATGGTGTTGTACTCTGTTTTTTAAATAGGATTGACAGTATTTCCAAAAGGACTTGATTTTACACCTTAGAATAATAGCCACATGAGAATAAAAAAGAAAATGCAAAAATAATAAAATTATAAAAAATAAGAATAGTCACATGAGAAGAAAGGCTAAACTTAAATATTATTTTATCCTCTTTCTACACCTTCCTGGATTCTTAGATGTAAGGTATTCTTTGATAAATCCTGAGTCTATCCAAACTGCTGGGAACTGGAGCCTCCAGGAAACCAAACGCTCCCCAAAGACCATGCACCTAGGTGATTTCCTCAAGAGAGGAAACTCCAGTTTCATATAGATTTACCTTTTCTCTTTGCGACCACACAGCCCTGGCAGTCATCCAGTCAGTCAGTCTCTGCCTGCCCTGAGTCATTGTACCAGCTAGAGCAACTTCTCTCTATAAAAAAGAAAGTCTCTTTCTTTCAGAGAAGACCGTGTTTGCAAACTATTTACTCGTGGGGAAGCAAGAGTGGAAAAAGTGGTGAGAAGAGAAGAGTGAGGAGATGGTATACAAAAGAAGGAAGAAAAGAGATTATGGAGTCAAGGAAATGTCAACTTGCTGTTCTCAACACCGTTTTCCAATGTCCAATTCTTACCTTTCTCCTGCCCCTTGCTTTCTCTTCTAGGTACCACTAAGGTACTAATGGCTCTGCAGAAGATCCATTCATTGCTTCTGCTCTTGGTGCTGACCCTGCTGGGACTGGGGCTGATAGAGCCCTCCCATGGCCAGGATCACATGTACCAAAGATTCCTGCGACAACATGTGCACCCTGAGGGGACAGGTGGGAATGATGGCTACTGCAACTTGATGATGCAAAGACGGAAGATGACTTTGTATCAGTGTAAGCGCTTCAACACCTTCATCCATCAAGACATCTGGAGCATTCGTAGTATCTGCAGGACCACCAATATCCAGTGCAAGAATGGCAAGATGAACTGCCATGAGGGTGTAGTGAAAGTCACAGACTGCAGGGAGACAGGAAGTTCCAAGGCTCCCAACTGCAGATATCGAGCTACGGCAAGCACTAGGCGTGTTGTCATTGCCTGTGAGGGTGACCCAGCAGTGCCTGTGCACTTTGACAGATAGATGCCTCCCTGCAGGGATTATGGCCTGTGGTTGGCCTTTAACTTACTCCTTGAATAGCAATGAGTTAATGCATTTGAGCTGTCCTAGGCTTTGTCTCCTCTCCTTATTTCTTATTACTTTTCTCTATATATCCCATTCTATTGAATACATTGCATCAAAGAGAAATGGAGACATAAACCTATAATGAGCCTGTGCTTTTCTGTAATAAGCTTCCTTTTCTAATACTGATTAGCTTAGCTCTCTCAGATCCTATCTGTTGGAATTTAGTCATTATGTATATTTATATAGCATTTCAAGCATTTCAAAGTTCTTTCATCTATGTTATCTCATTTTAATACCATGAGCACCCCCAATAATGCTGTTATATGTAGAAGTTAAGGGATTTGCTGAAGACCCTAAAGTTCGTGGAAGAGTTGAGGCAAAAATTCTGTTTAACTGGCTACTCATTCAGGGCTTTTTCTACTTCATCACAAGGAGTGTTTTGATAGTGTCTGCTTTTTGTTATCCCCAAAAATCAGCTGTTGGAGAAACATTAAACATTTGGAAATGTATGCCAGCAAAATAAACTCTATTATTTCATATTGTTGTTATGTTTAGGTCTGATAAGGTCAAAAATTATATTAGGAATTTTCTCTTTCTTTTACCAAACCTTTGAGTCACCCTAGAAAGTCAGGGTGTGAAAAATGTACTAGATCATTAAAACTCATTTATGCTTCTTTACCAAATGCTTTTTCATGTTTTTCATATAATAAAGGACTTAAAATATACCAGAGAAGACTGTGCTACGGAATTATTATTTTTTTCTCCTGTCTTCTTTAATCTTTCTCTAATCTTACTTTAATAGCCTCCAAAACTCTGATCAAAGACTAACGTTCATCAGATCCATGACCACAACATGGAAGATTTTTCTCATTTACTCCAGAGGAAATGATTCCTCTGAAAGACAGTTCTCACATCCCTTCCTTCCTCTTTTGAATATTCAGAAACAAATTAGGAAGCAGAGGTATATGAAGATGTTTGCTGCTAAAGAAGGAAAGAGTGTGTGTGTGTGTATGTGTGTGTGTGTGTGTGTGTGTGTGTTTACGTGTGTGAAAACATTTGATTTACAGCAGATACAGAAAGCGATCTTATCTGAACTTCCCTTTTCTGACTAAAGCTGCATCTCCACAAAATACAATCACCATTATCTCCCTCCAAGGGAGTCCGCACGTAACTACATGTCCATTGCCTGGTGCACATGGCAGGTCAGTGCACTGAGGCACTGGGTTGCAGCAGAGAAAGAGATTTAATCATAGGGTTGCCAAATGAGATAAGAGGAAACCTCAGATGTCTCCTTGAGGAGTTTGGGATTAGGATTTTTAAGGGGTTTGGAGTGGGCAGAAGGGTGGAGATCATTGGTTGGTTGAAGAGTGCAGGTTGAAGTCATGGAACAGAGATGAAAAACTGGTATTCTTATACTGATTCAGTTCCTCTGTGAGTAACTTTAAACTGGTTGGTGTCCACTGTTTCACTGGAATTCAGGATCTTCTAAAGCAGTTCTTAAAAGCCTTATGATTCTAATTTCAGAAATCCTATCTACCTTAAACAAAAACCTTGTTATCTTAACATCATAAATCCTATCTGTAGGAATAATTGGGCTGCAAATGATTAGTATTTCGTGTTTTGACTACAAAATAGTGGATCAAAGTGTAGCCTGATTAATGCTTAATTATAACTAATTTCTGTCTAGAATTCTTATTATCCCTACGAGGATAGCTTCGCCTAGATAGGAGACATGCCAAGGAAATTTTGTAAATAAACTTTGTCCAAACGTTTAGTCTGTCTCCAAAAGTCCCTTTGTTTTCCCAAAGAAGCACTTTCTCTCTCTTCTCTTTCCCCTATTCAGTTAGTAAACTCCTGTCTCTACTGTTCATCAAGCCTCTTCATCTGAATGCTTCCACAGTTAATGAATAAAACTTGTATTTAGAGTGAAGAGGAAAGATGGAAAGAATTCTCTTCTTCGTACCATCCAGACAGTTCTGGAAACTGGGAATTGTGGTATAATATGAAATATATTTGGGCTCTGCCACAGAGTTCCTAAACCCCTTGGAGTTTCCTAAGTAATAGAAGTGTATTTTGTTTTTTCATAATAGGCCCCTTTTGATTAGACCTGAGTTTATGCTCATGAAAAATTATGGTTGGGCTCACTATGTGGCCTTAGGATGGGACTGGTCACCAGAAACATCAAGTGTTTAGAGGGTTGGTACTTTCAACCCACCCATGGACCATCAGTAAGGGGACAGAGGGCTGGAGATCATGCTCCATAAAAACTCTTGAATATCAAGATTTGATGAGTTTCTAGATTGCTGAATACATGAAGTGACTAGTAGAGTGGCATGCCTAGGGAAGCCTTGAAAGCTCCACATCCTTCCCCAGATACCTAGTCCTATACACCTTTCCATCTGGCTACTCCTGAGTTGTATCCACAAGAATAAACCAGCAAATTTTAGGTTGTGTTTTCCTGAGTTCTATGAGCCATTCTAGCAAATTATCGAATCCTAAGAGGGGGTGATGGAAACCACCATTTTATAGCTGGTTGATCAGAAGTACTAGAGGCCCAGACATGCCATTGGCATCTCGAGTAGAGGCTGTCTTATTGCAACTGAGCTCTTGACTTGTGGGATCTAATCCTAACTCCAGGTAGATAGTCAGAATCAAATTAAACTGTATGGCACCCAGCTAACATTTAGAAAGTTGAATAATTACTTGGTGTGGAAAAAACCCACACACTTGATGTCAGAAGTATTGTTGAGAGTATAGAGGAACAGAGTGTGTTTTTCTAAAGTAATTAAAATAAGTGATCCATGTTGGGCACATTGTCTCATTTGCTGAGGAATTTATCTTTTATCTTATCCCTATACCCTCTACCTTTTATGTTCCAGTTGTATCCTTTACACTGTATTACCTTCCCTTTTCAAGAGATACCCCTTTCACTTTTAGTTTTAATTATAACAAAACACAGACATAGTTTCCCGACTGAACTGAAAAAGACACCTGGACAATTTTACTGGATCCTTCAAGTTCTTCTCTAAGGTGGCTGACTGATCAGTTACACTTGTGTTTAATACTCTTGATGCATTCAGGTGAGCTTCGTCATTCCTACAATGATCATTCTTGGCATTCTCTCAAACACTTCATGTTTTTTTCTTTAACTTTCTCCCAACGACTTGACCTCCTGGGAGAGAGAGGGTGAGCATGGGCAAGAGAGAGAGAGTGAGACAGAGAGAGACAGAGACAGATAGAGAGAGCACTTCAGAACTAGATATGGAGTTTAGAGAATTATAAGGGTACAAGTACATTTCTGCCTGTCTGTGGCTTTACTGGCACTCCAGAAATTCATTCAAGCCTAATAAAGCAACTTGTGCACTTTTTCCCCCTTTGCAATATTTAATTTTATTTCTAGTTAAAAGAGGTAAGGCAGTGTTGAATCATAACATTATTAATAATAAAGGATATCATTTATTACAACTGTCAGGGCAATCAAAATGGGGTCAGTTAAGGGAAGGTTAGATTGTGAAAACAATGCAGTCGTTTAAAAAACAAATCATTTTATTCTCCTCTCATGTGTGAGTTCCTCCCTAAAAGGTGCACCTTATTTAGGGATCTTGATTTCTTTCATTACCTCCGCTACTATCCCCTAGGGGAAGGGTGTTAAGCATTTTTGTGTCGTGCACCTCTTTAGCATTCTGGTGAAGCCAAAGAATAATTGAAAATGATAATAACAATTGAGAAAAAGAGAGCAAAATAATTGTACTCAGAAACATGTTATTAAATGCACAAAATAAAATACACAGGAAATCAAATGTCAAACATTCTAAGTTCACGATATGTGTTTTACTAATGCAATAAATAATAAAATCTACATTGGAGTCTAATTACTATTATAGTTTTGAAATAGTAATCAAAGTAAAATAATACTTTGAAATATTTGCAACAACTATAAACTGATATAAAAATATCCATGGTTTCTAATTTTTTCTACATTCATAAGTTTTTTAAAAATTGCTAATTTTAGTGGTGGGCTAGTGAAAATAAAGATGTGATTTTTTTTCACCCTGCCAGTTCATGAATTCCTTTCATTAACTATTCACTTCTTAAATTTTTGTGTACACCTGTTTCTCAAAACCATAATAGTGATTTAGGTACTCTTAGGCAAATGATGACAATGTCTCATGGTGTCTTCTTAACCTGGGTTCCCTGGGCTTCTAAGGTCTCCATTGATAGAATTAATTAAAATCAAAGAAAATGTTTAAGGAAAGATATGATTAACAAGTGATTTAAAATGTATATTCAAAGGGTAGGGTAATATTCCTTTAGAACTCAAATCAGAAGTCATTATCAAAAAAGCTTCTGTCACAGACGCTGGTAGACAGATCTTTAGAAAGTAGACCCATTAAGAAGTTTCCACAAATAATGGTTAATTTACTTTCCTGAGCTGCTTTGGCGGTTGCTAACTTTTGCAAATATAAGGAGATACCGTTCCCCACAGTTTAATTTAGGTTGCTTCCTAATCGGGTTTGTATGCAAAAGGCTCCAGGATGTTGGGCTTAGCTCATAGTAGAGTTCATGGATATATGCTTGGAGTTCATGACAAATTTTTTTCCACATTGAAAGTGAAATACCACCTATTTGAAAACACTGGAATAACTCATTGACATTGGAAATGACTGAGGTATTATAACCGTATGATATTCCCAATAGTTGATACCAGCAAACACTTTGGTGTTTAAAAATTTCCCACACATGCATTGCTTCCTATAATTCTCAACATTACTCATTGATATACTATAATATACCATAAAATATGATGCCTTGGAAAACTGTAAGTCTCTTTCTTAGTTTACTCCTTCACACTTTGGCTCAGGGCTTCTCTCTACCATCTCTCTTGATATTCATTGAGTCACTACTTGAATTTTAGTCTTCAACAGATAACACAAACTTGTCAGAGAGAGCTCTGGGTGTATAGGCACATGATACAAATCATCCAAATCCACATGCCCAGAATCCTTCCCTTTTTTCTCTCCCCTGTGACCCAAAGATGTAGAGTAGGAGGATACACAGAGCATGCTTTGAGACAACCCCCACTCCCCAATCTAGATGATCACCACATGATTTCCTCTTATTCAAAGATTGCTTGTAAAGAGCTGGGATTTGAAGATAAGTTCTGAATATATAAGTTCTGAACTTCTGACATTCTAGTAACATGGTGGTCCAGTGAGAAACTAAACCAAAATGGCTTAGCTAGGAGCAGCCCTTGAAGGTGTTGATAGAAAATACATTCAAGTATCTTAGTTTATCCATAAATTGTGCCATTGACTACTGTTTCTGAACCAGTATTGGTCACATGTGCCAAATCAAATGGAGTTGGTATGAAACAAGCAGTGAAAATTTGGGCTGTGAAGTCAAAAGGTAACCCATCAGATACTCACACAAACTCAGTTGAATGGCTGGTGATCTTGACCAGTTTGAGCTGGGTTCAGGGTTGAGTTTTGAGTTCCTGAAAAAGAACTTAACCAAGATCTTTTGATCCATACTTCAGAGTGAGATGCTATGTATGAGAACACTGCAGAAACTAGGGTTAGGCTATGTGACATTTTAATAGTGAACACTATAACCTAAGCAAACAGCTAAGGTTATAGTTAATAAACTGTTTAAAGAAACTTTAGTTACTGGCTATTTAATCATTAATGGCCATCTGGCCACCAGTTTCACTAGATACTCTTGCACCTCTCATTGAAGGCCTCAGAGTTCATAACTTTAAAACAGATTTTCCTCACCGAAGTTCCTAATGAATATAACCTCACCATTCAGGATGACCCTGAAAATTTGTCGGAAAGTGAGTTTAGGAGCTACTTCTCTGATTGTCTCCTGACAGCTCCAGATAACCCTTTTCTGGGGTCATCTCTCTAGGGTTTTGCATTTTTATTTTATTTTATTGTATTTTGATGCTCAGGAGTCAGTCTTTGATGTTTAAGCCTTTGCTCGAGGCTACTGCCTGAGTGAACCTAAGTTTTCTGGATGAGAAGATATGAGAACAGGTTCACATAATAAGGCTGTTCCCACTACCACCTCCACTACCAGTCAGCTGGAGCACTGAACCTCCCACTGCTGTTCTTTTCTCCACTTCTGCAGACTTCTGGGGCTCTAAGAAAAGGAGGAGGATACAAACTCTGCTCTTGAGATTCACATACTGATCCCCACTCCAACCAGGGACCCAAGCGCTGAATTTGAATAGGGTAAGAAGGGGTGATGCTAAGGATGTCTGGGGGAAAGGCCTAGGAACTCTGGAGAGAGGTTGGTTGAACTTTCAGATAATAAAGAAAAATGTTCCAAATCATAGAAAACGAAGGTCTGAATTCAAGTCAGCATTAATCCCCCAAGTTTGCATCTTGGTCTTATCCTGTTTAGGATTTTATGAACAGGGTTCCACTAATGAGAAAGTACCAATCCCTTGATCTGTGTTGGACGCATGTTGGCATCTGATTTCTTAGAAGTGTTCTCGCATACATGTATCTCATCAGATTTTACATGCCCATCTGAGGACACTAATGTTCAGAGTTGTGAATCAGGTTAGAAATTCAGTAGGGACAGGTACACACCTCATGGTAATGAGAACAGAAGGGTGGTTTATTTTTATTTTTTATTTATTTACATTTTTTTTTTTAGTTGTAGTCTCACTCTGTTACCCAGGCTGGAGTGCAGTGGCACACTCACAGCTACTGCAGCCTTGACCTGCTGGACTCAGGTGCTCCTTCCACCTCAACCTTCCAAATAGCTTGAACTACAGGCATGCGCCACCATGCCTGGTCGATATCACTGTAGAGACGAGGTCTCGCCAAGTTGCCCAGGCTGGGCTCAAACCCCTGGACTCAGGCAATCCTCTTGTCTTGGCCTCCCAAAGTGCTGGGATTACAGGGGTGAGCCACTACACCCTGCCAGAGAGCTGGTTTAAAGGGGAGACTTTTTCAAACAACTCTACATCCTGTGCTATGACAAGAGTCATCGACCCCTGTGAGAACAGTTTTAATCTTGCTACTTGACTGATTACAGCAATATTTCAGAACTGGAGTTCCTTTATGTTGGTATTCTCAACGAGCAGCTCTGACAAAACAAGATCATTTATAATGATGACAACTAGGGAAATGGCGCCTGAGAAGGGATGTGAATAGTTAGTAGGGGTAATATATTTCAACCAGGCTTCACAGAAGTGTTATAAGGAATTCAAGGTTAGAGAAGCATCATTTTGCAGAGTCACTGCAATTGTAGACTAGGCTATAATTTCTGGGAACCAAAGCCTTCCAGCCTAGTTAGTTACTCATCTTGTACATTCGCTTAAAAGGTGACAGTGCTTTCCTTTATTCTCTTTTGGAAAAATTATCTTTTGAGACTTGATCTAATAAAAAGCAACTAACTAGAGGGTGATTTTCTCCTCATGTGTGGTAGAAGAGACTGAAGACAGGAAATGGTTGAAAGTTTCGAATTTTCCCTTTTTTTTTTCCAGTGTTGTGTTTGACTCACCCAGGCTGAATCATATTTTTAATTCTTAGAAACCTTATTCTCTAATGAAAGTTGTCATCTTCTAATTGGAGAATCAAATGATAAAATTGTGCCCACATGCCAGCATTGGCAGGAAAAGGAACTTTAAGGTGGAGCTCAGCTCTCTGGGCAGTGTCTGGAAAATGTTTTCCTCTTTCTTCCCTGTGGACACACAGGTGGCCCTGATAACCGAGATGGCAACCCCTCTAAAGATCTCGCGCATTCTCTTGGCCTTGCTTTGCATCCTATGCAGGCTGCTTGTACACAGCAAGTACGCTTCCTGGAGAGAATTCATGGAACTACACTACTTAAGTCCAAGCCGAGAATTCAAAGAGTACAAATGTGACATCCTCATGAGAGAAAAAGAAGCTTTAAAAGACAAGAGCTCTCACACGTTCATCTATACCTTGTGGTACAAAATTGGACGTATATGCGTTTATGACAACTGGAACAACCGCTATAGAAATACATATATATGGGCCCTAAGTGCCATCAAAGTTCTCGAGTGTCACTGGGAGAAGTACTATAATAGGTACAAAGAGAGCAGAAGTTTCAACTACATTGAATTCCACTGTAGCATGGATGGGTATGTGGATAGCATAGAGGATCTGAAGTTGTTGGAGACCATCAGCAACTAGAAGGTCTACCAATCCCCAGGTTTTTGTAGAATATTCAGTGCTTCACTGGGGGTTACCCTTGCCTACATCAATAGCCCCTGGCACTTTTCACTTGTATTCAATTACCAATGTTTTACAGCTACTTAGAATTTTGTATTACATGGTTGCTTGATACCACAGTGTTGCCAGTGCTATTTCTTTGCCTGAAAAACACTTTTAACTTCCTTTACCTAATTTGTTCTTACATATTTCTTAAAGATTCAGCTCCTATAGTATCTCTTCTTGACTAATCCCAGAGTTTTCCTCATCTTGACTCTCCTTACACCTACCCAAGCTGAATGATCTTCTCTTTTTAAATAAATTATTTTATTCCAATGTGTGTGATATCTATATACTTTATGTTTGTAGAGTATGTACAATGTGTGATTGGTATGGGTGTGTGTGATATAGATTATGCTTGAATATGATTCATGCTGTGCATAGTGTTTAAGGTGCATTTTGTTTGTGTCTAATGTATGTGATATATTATGATTATGCTGAGGTTATTAATGGTTATATGTGAAGCCAGAGATAAGTTGTGATCTAGGAATTGATTATGGTGTCAACTTAAAATAACCAAAAGTGTCAGAATACAGTTTTAAAGAGTTTATTCAAGTGAAAAATTGGGAATGGCCATTCCATGACACTCAGACTCTAGAGAAATGAAGTCAGTGCTCCAAAGTTAAAAGGTAAACTTTTGTTTCTCTAGCAAAAAGACAAACAATTTTAATAGAAAATTACAATATTTTCAATACAAGTTTGTTTTAACAGTTACAAGTAATTATTTTTAATTTTGTTACCTTCTATTCTCATGGCTTGTTTTCATATCTTTGATTCATTTCCTTTCTAACTGATTCATTTTCTTTCTAATTTAAATGAATCTATTTAATATTTCATATTAAGACAATGTGATGAAAGGCTGGGCTCAATGGCTCAGCCTGTAATCCCGCACTTTGGGAGGCCAAAGTGAGTGAATTGCCTGAGCCCATGAGTTCGAGACCCGCCTGGGCAACTTGGCGAGATCTCATCTCTACAATAAATCAAAAATTAGCCGGGCGTGGTAGCGTGTGCCTGTAGTTCCAGCTAGTTGGAAGGCTGAGGCGGAAGGATCACCGGAGCCCAGCAGGTCGAGGCTGCGGTGGCCGGAAGCGGCCACTGCCCTCCAGTCTGTGCAACAGAGTGAGACTCCAACTCAAAAAAAAAAAAAAAAGACAATGTGATGACCGTGAAGTATTTGTGTGAGAACAGAAGGAAGAAAGTGAATCTATAATGAATATCAACTGTATAGAGAAAAGGGGTCTTCCCTGATGACCTTCTGTCATTTATAACATTTCACAAAAAAAGGCAGCAAAAAAAGAAGGTGTAAGCAAGGTTGCAGGTACTTGATTACAGCAAGCTGGCATGTGACTCAGGCCCCATAATCACATCCCTTTAAGGGTCAAAATAATTTAGGATACCGACAGTTAATTTGTACTTTTCGTTTTTTGAGTTGGGGATCTCACTCTGTCTCCCAGGCTGTAGTGCCATGGCACAATCCCAGTTCATCGCAGTGTCAAACTCCTAGGCTCAAGCAATCCTCCCACCTCAGCTTTCCAAGCACATCGAATTACAGGTGTGTGCCACTACCTGGCTAATTTTTTTTTTTTTTTTAGCTTTTTGTAGAGATGAAATCTCGCTATGTTGCCTGAGCTGGTCCCAAATTTCTGGGCTCAAGCAGTCCTCCTGCCTCGGCCTCCCAAAGTGCTGAGACTATATGCATGAGCCATCGCGCCCCACCAGATTTTGAATAAGTTATTTTTACAGGGGTAACATGTTTAGCTCTGCCCAGATTTCAGGATATGGGTAGAGCTGACTGGATGTAAAACATGTAGCATGCTTCTTGGCTCATAGTAGATACTCAGTGAAAATGGGTTTTATTCTCATCTTATTCTTGACTTAGTACTATAATTTTGACTTTGATAAAACAAACATAATAGCTACCCATCAAGCATATGCTCTCCCTGACTGTAGGGATGTGAATTTCTAAAATTAAAATGCAGGAGACTGCCATCTGAATGAAAGGTATACATACATGCACAGGATCAAAAAGATGTCCCTGCTAGACTCAATTCATTAAGAATGTTCCTCAGAAGACCAATGCATTTTCTAAAGATGACAAGTTCGCCAGGCCCGGTGGCTCACACCTGTAATCCCAGCACTATGGGAGGCAGTAGTGAGAGGATTGCCTGAGTTCGGGGGTTTCAGATGAGCCTGGGCAACTTAGCGAGACCTCGTTTCTACAATAAATCAAAAAATTTGCTGGGTGTGGTGGCATTCATCTGTGCTACTTGGAAGGCTGAGGCAGAAGGATCACCTGAGCCCAGAAAGTCGAAGCTGCAGTGACTATGAGCATTCCACTGCACACCACCCTGGGCAACAGTGAGACTCCAACTGAAAGAAAGAAAGAAAGAAAGAAAGAAAGAAAGAAAGAGAGAGAGAGAGAGAGAGAGAGAGAGAGAGAGAGAGAGAGAGAAAGATAGATAGATAAGACACATCCAGTAGAAGATACTACCACAAATGACTCTATCAGATAATAAAATTTTTCTCATGGCAGAAACATAGGGTGGAGTTTGAAGTACTTTAAAATGCAAGACTCCTCAAGAATGGAACTTAAGATTTAAATTTTGTTGGAGGGATGAGGCAGTAAATAGGAGAGTGAAATGTTGGGCTCACAAGCAGGAGTCCAGGAGAAATGCTGTTTGCTAAGTGTTGGGGAGAGACACAAAGTAAGAGAAGCATTGTTTCCTATTGAGGAAGGACCCCAAAAACTGTAATTTATTTCTTTAAAATTGTGTATGTAGTCTTACATGTTTAAATCTCAGTCACCTTCAAAGTACTCTCTGATGCAATACACCTATCAAAATGCTTTTCCCACTGCTCAAAAAAGTTTTTGAACTCGATTTTGATACCTTTTAGTGATTCTACCATTTTTTGTTTCGCCTTTTCCACACAGGCAAAACATTTTCGTTTGAAGACTATTTCACCTAGGGAACCAAAAAAAAAAAAAGTTGCTGGGGCAAGATTGGGTGAACAACAGAGGGTGGGGCACTGGGGCCATGCCATTTTTGATCAAAAACCGCTAATCACTCAGCACATAGTGCACAGGTACAAACATAAATCACTCATCATGAAACGGACAAAAGTGTTGAAAGAGTCTCCAAAAATAACAAAATTCACTAATGCTGAATGCAGCTTCTCACAACAGTGCTAGCTGGTACACCGATGCTAATGGGTTACATCAAGAAGCTCAGAAGCACATTCCTATCCCTGAAGAATTGCTACCAAAGGTGAGTCCCAATACCTGTGAGAATGGGAGACCAGGGAGAGCTAAGTCCACAGCCACAGTGCAGGTCAAGGTATGTGCAAGAAAGACACCATTGAATCTAAAACAATACCCCCTGAGAGAAGTAGCACAGCAAAGTATTTAACCTTGGTTGTCTACTTTCCTCCTGTATTCTGACTCATTAGACCTGGCCAATCCTTATATGAAAAATCTTATCTGAACTTCCCTCATCTGACTATAGTAGAGTCTCCCAAAAATACAACCTCCATTATCTTCCTCCAAGGGAGTTGCCATGTAGCCTTAATAGATCCATTGCCCAATGCACATGACAAGTCAATATGCTGAAACTGGGTTGCAGCAGAAAAAGAGGTTTAATCGTAGGGTTACCAAACCAGGAGATGGAGGAAACCTCAAATTTCCTCAAGTAGTTCGGATGGGGCTTTTAAGGGTTTTGGAGTGGGCTAGAGTGGAGATCACTGATAGGAAGAGTTCAGGTTGAAGTCATGAGACAGGAAGATGAGCAAAACAGTATTGTCATGCTGATTTTGTTCCTCTGCTAAACTGGTTGGTGTCAGCTGTACCACTGGAATCCAGGTTCTGCTTAAGCAATTCTTAAACAAAAGCTTTGTGGTTCTTTTTTTTTTTTTTTTCTTTTTTGAGTTGGAGTCTCACTCTGTCGCCCAG